CTGCCATGGGCGGGGGCACACTCCACTACACCAGGTTGCCCAAAGCCTCATCCAACTCCATCCCTTGAACACTTCCAGGGATGGAGTATCCACAATTTCTCTGGGCAACCTGTTCCAGTGCCTCACCACCCTCAGAGCGAAAAATTTCTTCCTTATATCCAATCTAAATCTCCCCTCTTTCAGTTTAAAGCCATTGCCCCTTGTCTTATCACTATATACTCTTGTAAAAAGTCCCTCTCCAGCTTTCATGTAGCCCCTTTAAGTACTGAAAGACTGCTATAAGGTCACCCTGGAGCCTTCTCTTTTCCAGGCTGAATAGCCAAATTTGAATCGGGCTCCCAGTGGAACAGGTGGTTGCCTATGACACCAATGCCATCCTCTTTGGATCTATGGTCTAGATCTAAGATGGATACTAACTCAGGCACTCTAGTTCTAGATAAGCTTTTCTAAAACTTTCTGCCAAAACCAAATATATTGCCTCAAGCCTCCTTGTTTCCAAAGGGAAGAAGGTAGGCTTCCTGTCCCCATCCCCTGGGTGCACGCTCTGCCAAATTCAGGAGAATCCATAGCTTCAGGTGCACGCAGGCATGTAGCAGCATCAGGGTTGACAGTGCATCGTGGCCAGGTGACCCTCTTGCGTATCAGGGGGGCTCGTGGTCATGCACTTCTGGTGATGACCGGGCTGCTGCGAATGCACAGCTGAAGCAGAGTAACAGCAAAAGGAGCAGAAAAAATGACACAGAAGCATCAGAGAGATGCCTGCTTCCAGTACAAAGCAGCACTGCTCTTTCATCTTGATTAGAGATGCTGCTTGGTAATCTGGGACTTTACTGTCTCCCAAAGGGAATTTCGCTAATCTGGGTTGACAGCAAAAGGAAGCAAGCATCCTTATGCAGGGCCTCGCTCCTCAGCTGCTTCCCGAGTCAGCTGGTTTCTGCTATCTCCCAGTTCATAGCCACGGCAAGATCTTGGTGTTCATTCCATAAAGTGTTAGTGAATCATTCGTCAGCTATGTCAGGATTTACCTGTCTGCTTTCAATCCTCTGAGACTCCTCTGTACCTACAGGGCACTGTTAACTAAAGAAGGCCAAAGACTCGGCTTGTAGCTGCAAGACAAAGCATCCCTAGCTGGAAGTTTAGTTTTGGAATCAGTTGCCAGCAGGGACAAGAGTGAAATGTTCAGTCAAGGGGTTAAAGCCTGCAGAATGGCAAGATGCTCCCCATGCACCCTGAAACGTTTATCCTTAGTTGAAGAATTCTCCCAACCCTTCGATTCCTTCAATTCCTGCTTCAAAATTCACTGTTTTATTCCTTGCTCCATTTGGCACTCGGTTCCTCCTCCTTTTTCTCAAACAGCTTCAGCCCCCAACTTGCTCTTCTCCAGCCTGTCATCTGCTACTATTATCCAGTTGTACACACAGCACAGCTTAATCACAGTCATATATTATGCCTATGTGTGCGTTTTTCCCCTCCTCTGGGTATTTACAAGATATCTGTGAGTTGAAGGGCTGTCTGGAAGACTGAAAATTGTTGGTAGACCACACAAAAGAATTTGACAGAAAGAAGACCTCTTTCCTTTTTCCAGCTAGCAGCTTGTGATCTCTCAAAGTTTACTGCTAATAGAAGAAACTGTGGATTTCTAAGATATGTTAAAAGGTAAAAATTGTTAGGTCCAAGTATTAGATAACAAGTGTCTGATCACAAACTGAGTAACGGAAGTACAGAAGTTGAGCATTGAGTAACTGGAGGTCATTTTGTTCTTCAGCCGGTTTAGTGTGGATCGACTCTGAAAAAAACTACAGGAAAACTTTAAAAAAATTCCACCTTACTCTTCACTTTTATTTTTTTATTCAGCAGAATCGTAACATGGCAAATTGATTTCTTCAGTAATTTATAAAACTATTTACATGAATCCTTTGAACCACATGGAGATATCTGAAGATGTTGCATACAGAACTATAAAGCCAGATGTCTTTCATGCTTAGTATTATTATTATTATAATATTTTGGAAGTTTAAAAAAATTATTTTATTGGTCCACTCTATAGAGCACCATATTCTGGATATCCTAAACAGTTCACACTTCCATGAACGGAACTTTCAAGAAGATTTTGAGATTTAAGTCCTTTTGGCCTTGGTTGACAAAAGGGTATAAGCAGGAAACTGTGTTCTGGATTGCCAGCTTTGTGTCTGCATTTTGAACTAGATTTCGCAAGCACTTAAATCTTGTTGTTAAAGTTTTGCTTTCTCCTACACATCTACTTTGGAAAAAGTCCTAAAGCACCTCTGTCTTTAAAGAGTGGAGGAGGCTGCCCTCCTCTTTCTAACCTATGTGGGAAGCTCTACGTGTTGTCGTAGATTAGATGAGTCGCAACCTCTTTCTTCTCCAAGAAGGCTTGATCTCCAGGTGGGATTCTCTGAGCATGAAATATTTGAGCATTGTGCAGCAGCCATCACCCCTTTAATTCGAAACACAAAGGGAAGGAGAGATTCCTTACCTTAGGTCATTTGTCTGGGATGGGGAGACCTGACCAGAGATTTCAGCTCTTGTTTCTCTAGGTGGAAGAAACAGTGCTTGGTGGCATAACTCTGAGAGACACTTCATGAGTGGAGATAATAGACCACTTCTTGTTTTCCTTTGTTTCCTTTTGCATGCTTAGGTGGTTTTCTGCTCAGCCTTATGCATTTCATAGATTTGTTTGGAGGTTTATGTGCAGCATGTGTGGTATGTGAAAAGTGTCCACCTGGAGGCTGTGGGGGCCAGGTGCCTAAAGTCTGGTGTGAATCTCAATGCTTTGCACCCATGATGTGAATCACAGCCTCAACCTCTAAATGAAAAATTAGCAGGCATGTTGTGATTATAGTGTAAACCAGCAACACGGTTAGGCGAGATAAGCATATACAGTTTTGAATATTAAGTCCCAGCTGCACAAAATGAACTGCTTTTGTGAAATTAGTTGCTTTCCCTGATCCAAATTTCTGCCTTAGACTGTTCCCTCTGCCATCAAAACCTTTGCTTCTTGTGCCAATGAATGAGATTAATCTTCTAAAACCTTTAACATACTACCTGCAACATTCAAAATTAAAAATATATAAATAAACCTACACGTAGCTCCCTGGTTCAAACTTTGCAGATTCAGGGTTCACTAAGAAGTCATGTCTTTTTCCTTTAAAAGAAGACAACCGTATAAAATAATAGAGTTCTCTGTCTAGCATACAAACCCATCTGGAAAGAATTTAGTCTGCAATTGTGTTGTGGGCATTTGATTTAGCTTTAAATCCCTGTAGGTAATTCAAATGTAAATTTATTGGGGTGAGTTTATCCACAAACCACCATTGGATCCAATGTTTTTGAGATGAATTTGGCCCACTGCACTAAAACTAGAGCCTTCATTGTTTCTGTTGCATCAGGATATTATTACATACTGTAATGTCTGTTGTTATAAGCAGATCTTTACTAGAAATGTAAAGAAACAACAGAAAGAAATGTAAAGAAACAACACAGACAATCACCTGAATCAAATTTATTTTTCAGGCCTTTGAAGATTAGTAATTCTTTGGTTACGAATATGTTTGTAAACTGGTATCTAAATCACTCAGACAACGCTGGTCTAATTCATTATTCTGTACTCATCCGAGGTAGTCTTTTTGGTTAAGTAAAATTCTTTGCATTTCACATTCTGCTTCAGAAAAAAAGAAGTTTCAAGAGGCATTCAGTGCATAATGTAAACAATGCCATCTGTCTTTTTCTTTGTAAAATCTTCTTCGAGATAGCCTCGATATGCCTACTGTTTTCAATCACTTAAAAGGCAGTAATTCAATTATATCATCCTTATGTAGGAACTGCCATTGCTTTCAGTCCACTTCCAATCCTGACACAAGTAAATCACTTTGATAAGATCCCCTTTTTATTTATTTTTTTTTCCGAGGAGACTAGCATAAGTAATGATGCCAGTGATAGACCAAGGACAAAATGACCATAATGGGCTTTCTGTAGGAAAGGAAAACATGTGCCATTGTGATTTATCATGGTACTTGGAAAATGTTTTTCCTTGGAATTTCTGCAATGGCCACACTCTCTGAGCGAAGGGCAAGTTAGCAAGTATGAATGGCCAAATGGTAAATTCAGGCAAAACCTTTACCGAGCAGCAGATTTAAACAGCCATTGCTACTTAGATTTCTTAAACGGGAACAGAAGGTCAAAGCCACTTTGGAAACGTGCCCAGGTCGTATTCATCTTTGGTGTAATGCCACCTACTTACATGGAAACGCGCCGGGAACGTGTAAGGTTGGCTCTTTCCTACAAACTGCTATGGCTTATCGTGCAGATATGCCTTCCTTCTATTTAAAAATTGTTTGGGTGACTTCAGTGCTTTGTGCCACCAGTGAGGCGGGGGCCTGGCAGACACGTCTGACCTCCCAGAATAGACGCGGCACGAGATCGGTAGTGTCTGTAGACTTCCTGCTACAAACCAGCCTTGACTCCGATGCCGAGAGAGGATGGTTAGAGCCAAGCTGTCTCTGGACACATCTATCTCTCGTCCCCAAATTCCGAGCACCAGAGGAGGTGGTCAGGTGTGATGTGAAAGCTCGTTTGAAAGGAGCTGGACCACAGGTGTCTCTTTGAACCCAGATTGGTCACTCAGCACAAATAACCCCAGAGCTTGAGTTTCCAAATTTGTGAAGAGTGCTGGTTTCATGCTCCCTGTCTGAGAACACATCCAGGAAATGCAGCGGGAAGTTTACTCTGCTTTGTCTGCTGAAGAAGCAGTACCACGCAGGTAAGAGGTGATCTGCAACATTAAAACACCGCAGGCTGAGTTCGGCATTTCCAGTGACGTGCTCTCAACACATGCCCTTGCATTAAGGAATTTTTGGAGAGCCTGTGTGAGAAAGCTGTGACATGGACAGGGAAAAGGCAGCATGTTCATTGTATTTAACCTAATGAATTAGGAGGCGGTTCAGGACGTTATCGATACAGTATGTCGTTTCCTTTCACAGAGAAAGCGTGGAGAGCCTCATCCAAAAGCATTCCTATGCCCGATCCCCCATTCGAACCTATGGAGGAGAAGATGATCTTGGAGATGACAGCCAGGCAACACAAAGCAGAGGTAGGAAAACGTGCTCATGAAATAAACTGTGGTGACCTACTTATGCTTGAGAAAAGGAGGACGACAGTCAGTACTTGTTACTCCAAAGTATTTCTCTGGCATGTGCCTCCGTCCTGAAGTCCGATAATGAAGAGGAATACTTGTTACCTTATGGTTCTTCTGGACGTCTGACATACCCATGGCACTGGTGTGGGTGGCTAGTTCAGGAGGCAGCTTTAGAGATGCCTTTGCCAGCAGAAGACAACTACTTCTGTTTCCTCTTTGAGATGGCCAAAAACCAGACAACTTCATTACCGTGGTGCTGAGAACAAGCTAACGCTCCCCATCCCTTGGCAGGACTCATTGGCTGGAGCTCAGCACCGTTTGTAAAGTACCATGTAGATGTGCCATTTGCTGCCTCTCCAGCTTTCTGTGAACAGAGGACTTGGTTCTGACCATCTTCAACCAGCCTGCGGTTAATCTGCTTTGCCTCTTCAGGAGGAAAAGTCCATAGCTCTCCAGAAAATTGATGTT